AGAGAGAGAGAGAGAGAGAGAGAGAGAGAGAGAGAGAGAGAGAGAGAGAGAGAGAGACTGGGCTATGGCGGAGGCCAGGGGACTTACCTGTCGGCTTCAGCGCTCCAGCTTCTTCCTCCGTGTGTCCGTACCTGCATCAAGGCGACACCTTTTGCAGGTTAGTACCTGGTACGCAGCAGAGAGAGGGAGAGAGAGAGGGATTTTCTTCTTCCTCCTCCTCCAGTCCATCGCTCCCCCACCGTCAAACTATGAGAGAGAGAGAGAGAGAGAGAGAGAGAGAGAGAGAGAGAGAGAGAGAGAGAGAGAGAGAGATTCAGACTTGACATATGAGCAGCAACATTGTGGGGCCCTATTTTGGCATCGGTATCGAAGACATTTTGGGTTGGTGACATCTCCCCTTTTTTCCCCCCTCTTCGTCTCTCCTCCCTCCTCATCTATGTAGGTTGGTGCCTGGCGCTTCGTCTCTGTGTTATAGCGCCAGGTCCTCCTCACACCATGTGATGATGATGATGATGATGATGATGATGATGATGTTCGTCTGTGTCGCGGCATTAATTGGGTTTGATTGTTGGTATTTCAGTCTTCCGCTGTGCTATCCTTACTCCATCTGTGAGAGGTCGCTTCTTGGGTCCGGTCTGCGCCACTTGGCATGTGACATTTGTGTCTCGACCCGGGGGTGCAAAAGTGTCCAGTTACCTCCAGTATTGAAAAAGAAAATGCTGCCAACTACTTCCACACTCCTCAAAACCTTTTTTCTTTCCAAATGCCTCTTGTCTTATACTCGGCAGCATAATCTCGGTTACAAGATTTATTCTGGCTCTTGATTCCTTTTTTTCTCTCTTAGAAGTTTGGTTTTGGCGAAACCACGCTGAAGTACTCTTTGTGTTGATACCAGGGCAGACATTCTGACGATGACACATTGTGTTTGTTGTGTTATTGCCAACTTATTGGACATTTTGCCAATTCGCTCTTTTTGAAAAACACACAAAAAAAAATCAGGAGGGAAGAATGTTTTCATGAAAGGTAAGGTGAAACCCACTCTACAGTGTTGCCTCATTATGCACAAAGGAAATCTCTCTCTCTCTCTCTCTCTCTCTCTCTCTCTCTCTCTCTCTCTCTCTCTCTCTCTCTCTCTCTCTCTCTCTCTCTCTCTCTCTCTC